TGCTTGGAAGGATTAAATAGGAGAGTGTGGATTTGATTAGTGCAAGCTCATAAAAAAGCAATATTAGCTCTATTATATGTTGGCTTGGTGTTAGGCTAATTCATCCTCTCTACCCTTCTGGTTGTTATAATGTTATAAAATGTTGTTATGGAATAAAATTTCCAATTCTTGAGGAACAGGGCAATTAGAATCTCTTACTGTGTCATCTGAGGAGAAAAACATCCTTCTTAAGAAAACGTACCTGCTTTTCTAGTTTCTTTTACCTGTAGGTAGCCATGATGCAACTCTTCAGTATATTGTTTTGTATTATACATTCACTCAAGGGTTTTATTAAAACTCATGATGAATGAAAAAAAGAGTAATGTGAATATAGAATTATGAAATCCAACATGGCACAGTTTCTTATTGTTTTGCATTTATTTTGTAGAACATGGGACTCAACGTAGCCACTTCCCATCAGTTTTTCAGTGGCAACCCAGGGAGCTGTAACCATCAATTGCCTTACTCAAATGGAAGATGGATGAATGATCTTTTCAGACCCCAAAGCAATGCAGATTTGGCAAGGAGTAGGAGTCACCATTAAAGCAATCCACTTTTTCAGGCGTGACACATTTTGTATTCCAATTTTTAAATGTCTTCCGGGTTGTAGGAAAATGTAATGACATTTTCTGGAAGACGTTTTGAAGTTTAATTAAAATGCAGTTTTTAAAACATATCCCTTGTGCTTTGCACTTGTAAATATAAGCGTATCAGGAACTTACACAGAGATGTGAATGTTCTCATCCTGATGTTGGGTAGCTCTGGTTGGGAACTGTGTACATTAATCTTTTGACAAAATAGCAGTGTGCCTCTTTTGCACAACTGGGCCCTGTGGGTAACTTCTGTGCGGTGTATTCATAGGAAGAAAACCTGATATTTTAAATTCTCCTCCCTTCCTCTGGGAGGTCGCTGTGTACTCAACAAAAAACCCTTGCTTCTTGTACTTACAGAGCTGAAAAAGTTCCTATTAAACCAGAGGTTGAAAAACAAAGGGCACTCTGGCTAACACTTGACAACTTAGAGCAGTTATTCTCCAAGCTTCTTGTTACTGGAATAAGAAAATGGCATGACCTGGGAATCTGAAATACTCAAAACTCTGATCCATCTCCTATCTCTGGCAGACATTTTGCTCAACTCTGCTTTTCAGCTGATTCATTCAGAAGCTGAAAGAACTTTTAAATTTTGTTCAATGAATATTTATTGAACACCTGCTATGTACTAATCCTATGATTTGATATGGGGCAGTATGTGTTGAATGATAAGGTTCCTGCCCTTAAGAAGTCCACAAAGGGAAGTAACATTGGTAACTTTGAAGGACTAGCACTTTTCTTTAGGAGTTAACCCCAGGACACATGATAATATAATTCATTAAAGCAATACCTTTAGCCTTTGGAATCTTAGTAGCTACCAGTGTTTAATACCTCCTCTGGAATGTTCAGTTGAGTGCTTGGAGGAGCTTACCATTAGCAGCATTTTGCTAACTATGTAACAGACTTCTTTAGTAATAGTCTTGTTCTTAACACCTGCTGGGTTAGTAAATAAAGGGAAGTGGCAAACATTTGTGATTGGAATGTCTTTTACCCTTTATTTGAAGAAGGAATGGTGGCTCTTCTGGGAACACTTAGAACTCTCAATGAAAGTGCATACGATTTACGGAAGATGAACCCTCTCAGCGACAACACATTATTTCTGCCCAGCGCTGATCACGTTTTTCTGTGGACTTTGTGGTCAAAGGGAAAAATAGCAGTTAAACTGTACCTTACAGTTTTAGAATTAAACTCTAGAATTAAACTCAAGATTATCCCAAAGTTAACACCCTGTGATGGTGTACGTATTTTCAAATTTCTTACAAAAGGCATTAACTTGTGTTCTTCAAGCACCAATGGGCATCTATTAAACTGTATTTCAGTATTTAGTGAATGCACTCTAAGATAAAATTGAAGTTCTACTTGGCTTTGTTCTTCTTGGGTCCATTACTATATGACTAGAAAGAGCTTTCTGAATTTTAAAACGATTGACTCCCTTTGTTCTTGCTTGGTAAATACAGAAACTTAAATGCTTGATTTGCTCAACTGGTACTCAGAATAGGTAATAGAAAATTAAAACTGAATTCTTAACCATCAAAATGTATGATTTTGCTGTCTCTGAAGACAAGCATCAGTTTCTCCGTTATTTCTAGGATTGATGCCGCCTGCATTCCAAACTAATTTTTGTAACAAGGAAGGGAGATGCCAATATTCACTTTAAATATTTCAGGACCAGGAGCACCTGGGTGGCTCAGTCAGTTAAGCGTCTGGCTCTTAGTCCCAGCTCAGGTCTTGATCTCAGGGTCGTTGAGTTCAAGCCCCACATTGGGCTCTGCACTGGGTGTGGAGCCTACTTAAAGGAAAAAAAAATAAAGATACAAACTGAGGGTTGCTGGAGTGGAGGAGGGTGGGAGGGTTGGGGTGGCTGGGTGATGGATATTGGAGAGGCTATGTGCTATGGAGAGCGCTGTGACTTGTGTTAGACTGATGAATCACAGACCTGTACTCCTGAAACAAATAATACATTGTGTGTTAATAAAAAAAAAGATAAATATTTCAGGGCCAATAATGTCAACATGGACTTTGATTCATAACTTAATGTAGCCCTGAATGTATTAGTTGTGTTGTAAGCACAAACCTTTAGAATGTACCTGTTTTACGACAATGGCTAAGGAAATACAGAAGAAAGGAATAGGGGCTTCACACTTAACTATCACTTCTTGTCTTTTGCTTGGAGTTGGACTCCCCAATGTCCATGACTATATCTTAGATGTCTAATTAAATACCAAATTTCTGTCTGAATGACATTGGAGGAAGTTAATAGTGAGTTAGTGGATTAGGTTTTCTTAATTCTAGAATACTTAGTCCAACTCACCCTTATTTGTTATTGCTTTATAAACATGACTTAAGTCAAGGCTGAATCATATTCACTTAGATTGTAATTTGCTAAGAGTTTATTTATATTTAAACACTTATTATCTTAAATTATATATTTCAGTTTTTCTTTCATAGAAAATGACAGTGTCATAAAAAAATCACCATTTGTTCTTAAAAGGCTTTTTTGCTTCCTTCATCTTTCCACTCCATGCCTTATCCTATGATTTTAGTCTTTACCATTGCTCAAAGACCTTCATATGACTCTAAAGGCAATAATTGTATTAATAATGCTTTGGTGAGATTTGATAACCATAAATTCCCAAGTTCCCTCTTCCCCCTTTTCTTTTCAGGAAAGGGCTATTGGTGAAGAAAAATTTAAAGATGACCTGAACCTGATACTTCCTTGCCTTAGAGTATTTACCAAGCCAGTGTTTAAAAAACATATTTTTCATGTGAACAACTTAGATGGATTTGGTGCAATCTTAAGATTTAGAGTTTCAGATGGAGTTTTGCAAAATGTGGTCATATCTGTTGTTATGGTACTCCAAACTAGTTGCATTATACAGGTTTAGTGTGTTGGCCTTCAATTTTTGAATGCTAAAAACCATATCCAGCAAATCCATATGTGAAGCTAAGCACAAATTCTAGGTTTTGCTTATTCACATAGGTCCACATTTCTTACCAAAAAAATTCACATGGGTCCACTTTTGAAGGCTATGGGACTCAAATGAAAATATGAATAAGTTCAATCTTTAAATATTTGAATATCCCAGAAACATTATTCTAATCACATAGAGCTCAGACCAATCTCTCCCTTTGTGTGTATCTTTCCTTTTTAGAATGTTTGTAGAGGGGCGCCTGGGTGGCTCAGTTGTTAAGTGTCTGCCTTTGGCTCAGGTCATGTTCCCAGGATCCTGGGATGGAGCCCTGCATCGGGCTCCCTGCTCCGTGGGAAGCCTGCTTCTCCCTCTCCCACTCCCCCTGTTTGTGTTCCCTCTCTTGCTGTCTCTCTCTGTCAAATAAATAAAATCTTAAAAAAATAAAATAAAATGTTTGTAGAACCTTGGATCATTTAATAGTTTCTTGAATCCAGCATTTAGTTGTTTCTTATAAATGTATGTATAATCTACCCACTAGAATGAGAGAGTCATGAGGACAGTTACAATATTTTACTTCTTGTGCATCTTCCAAACATCTAAAAGATATCTAACAGGATTGGGAGCATAAACAGAATACTTCCCAAATATGTGCTTGCTTGATTCATAGACTTTTTGTTTTGTTGTACTGTTTTACTGATGGGTGGGTCCTAAGCTGTGGACAGTTAAAGAAAAAATTCTGTAGAAGAAAAGATGTCTGTTTTCATCTGAACATAGAGGTAGGAACAAGTAGGATGACACTCACAGTGGAAAGTGATTGCATATGGTGTCACACCATGCTGTTGGCAACCCAAGTCCCTGGAGCCGGGAGTGATACAACAGGAAAGCAGTCTTCCTCAGGGAATGTTTTTTTGAGTTATTATGTATTTTCCAGATCTCAGTCCTTTTCCCTTTCTCTGGTAAAATTCTCAAGTAGCTCTTTTATGCTTGTTGTTGTTACCAGTAAGAGCAAGCTCTTTCAAATTAAACTTTACATTGGTGAAAATTGCCCCTGGCCTTAAGGTTCCTGATCTGCCTCTTTCCCTTTTCTCAGCTCTGGCTGACTCTCTGGACTGAGTTTCTATAATCTTTTCTCCTGACTTCTCTGCTTTTTTTCCTGCCCTCTCCCATCTTCACTTCAAACTGGACATACCTCATAAAAAGATGTCTACATAGTTCAGCCATTCTATTGAACTGAACTTAAATATTGGACGAAATACATTTTAAGTGGTTTTTAACTAAAAGCTAATGTGAAAATGTTGGAATATGTACCAATAAAAACATATTATACTGAAAACCATATTCAAATACAGTTAAAAATATTACATCATGTTCCTTCTAGTAGAAATTTTAAAGGGTATACATAATTCACCTTCTGAGTCATGATGTAATTTAGATTATATTTTATTAGACATTCTTTACAAATTTAAAATACTGCTATTTTTACATGCAGAGGAAAATCAGTTTGGATAATTATATTTAGGCATTATTAAAATCAACCACAAAATAAAGACACTTTATTGTGTCATTTATCAACATACTTGATATGTATATCTAAAGTGCATTATGTTACAAAAAATAGAGAAATTCAGCAGCACCAAGATACATTTACAAAATAAATACATCAGTTGACAAAATAAATTATGGTAATTGTGATAATAATAATTGGATTAGCCTTGGCAAAAAAAAAAAATATTCACAATGACCAATGTGCAGTTTCATAGAGCAATGGGGAAGACAGTTTTATTCCAATGCATTTACAGTATTTACAGACAATAAATATTTCTAATACTTTCCATATGTTCACTATTACAGAATCCTGTAATACGTCCTCTGAAGGTCTTTGCTAAAAATTTCAATGCCTCCTGAAAAGAGAAGGAAGGGAATGAAGAGGAGAAAACAGGTTAATTCTCCTTAACAAATGAAAAGGCATAAAAAATAAAGGAACACAGAATTACAATGGAAAAGATTCCAGGGATTTCTTGTAAATATTCCCAATAGGAGGTATCAGTGGGATCCACCTGATTCTCCAGAACCTTTGCTACAGCAGGGTCTTCAATATGATCAAATGATCAATGTAGTGAAGGAAGAGAAAAAGCTTGCATTTCTAATTCTATAGACTCTGTCTGAAAAAGGAGACCCTGGGAGAATTTTCCAAAGCTGCCAATTGGAAAGTCAATTGGAGGAGAAGGGAGAGTCTGGAAATAAGGCTAGGTTGTGCAGTCCATCATCAAATACACCTTGCTAGAAGTTTATTCCCCAGCGATGCCTGACATGGGTGATCCAGAATTTGCTTATTCTGTTCAGGTATCCATTTGGCCAACCTTTCGCTAAGATAATAGCTGTTAGGAGAGTAGAGGGTGGGATTTGGAGTAAATGTTGGAAGGATGTGGATTTGAACAGTATGTTTGGTTGGTGATTTGATGATATCAATCATTCCATTAGCTGTCCTTAAACACTAACGAATGAAGCTATTTTTGGATTTTAGTTTTTGAAGTCAAAACTAAGAACTATTTGTCTCTCACTCTGCTGGTTTTTGGAATTGATCTGGAATTAGGAATTGGGAAAGCTCATCTTAAATTAGGGAATAAGAATCAATTGATTTGAAAGTATAAAATAGCAGTGTTTCAGCTCACTGTGTTTATCACGCAGAATAAATTACCACCGGGGATTGACACCTTTCCTAACTCTTTCTAAAACACTGTAGTGACAGTATTTTAAGATGGGCCAGCAGCATTTTCTCTGCTTTCTCTTCTCTTTGTGTGTCTATTTCAGTGGTTTCTAAGGAAGCACCTATAGAATGGAACTCGATTGGCTGTGCCATTGCATTAACAGCCAGAGGTGGGCAGAGTTTTGCATGGTAGACTCATATGGGGGTGAGACCTACAGAAGAGCCAACTCTTGACAATTTAGGAACTTTTTGTGCAGCTTGAAGAAAGAAAAGCAAGTTGAACATTTAGGATGTTTTAATGTCTTAAGAAATTGACATCTTCAGCAATCGTTTTGCTTGGAATGGCAAAATAGCTCCTAACTGCAGAGAAAATAACTTAAGATTAACATTTTTAATGGTGGGTGGATGTACGTTATGAATAAAGCCCAAAAGGTGACTGTGAAACTCAATAATTTGTGTGCTGTATCAATTTTAAAATGTTTTTGTACTGAAAGGTATCTAGTGAATTGAACTTAAGAATGATGCAAGCAGGGAGGGAATGACGAGTATTTTGAACAATTATTTCCTCAGAAGGAAGGAAAGAGAAAAGAGATAAAGGACCAAGGAAAAGATCTTTTAATTATATTGCCCCTTGTCCAGCCAGTTTGCTTGTTATAATGGCACGTTTTGGAATAGCCAAGTAAAACATATAACATGACCTGAAAGTATATGTGTATGTTTTGTGTGTGTGTGTATGTGTGTGTATGACAACACTTTAGAGTCTCTTTTGAATACTGAGAAGCTTTTGTATTATTTCTAAGTCAATATTTACCAAGGCAAAATATATGGTCTCAATTAAATGAGTCCTACTGTATCTGGACATCTCATTTACAACATCAAAAATTTCAAAATGTAATTTCCAACATTTGAACTATATACCTCCCACTGGTTCATGTGGGAGGAGCCAGACAGTTTTAGCTCAGTAGTTTCTCTTAAGAAATACATATATTTTACTAAAATTTGTGCTTGCCATATCATCAGATCACTGTATAATAATGCAAAGAGACTAAAGAGAGGACACTAATCAAAGGTTGGTGGCTTATGAAACTGCAAAATAGTTATTCTGAAAAGATTCTCTTTGGATTAGAACATTTGCATAGCCCCATAGAGTCTCCTCAGTACACTCCTTAATTTCCCCGATCTTCCCTGCACCTCTGTTGGGTTGTACTGGGAGAGGGCCAACATCTGGCTGCCAAACAAACAATGCTTTCCATGAACGTCCCTCACAACCAGGGAACAGAAAGGAGAAAGCAGAAACATTCTATTTCTTTCAGTTCTAGGTCTGGATTTGATTAGGCCACTGCCTAATTTTTACTAGATCTCTTTAACATAGGGGTAGCTTTGGGCATAAGAATTGATGAGTGCTGAATTTCATTAAATTCCCAGATACTTCAGAGCATTGCAAATCCTAAATAAATGAAATCCATAAAAAAGTATACTTTCGTTTTCAGAACTCTAATAAATGTATGTACACACAGAGTAAGACAATGGATAAAAAATAGGTTCTGACAATAAAGCCCTTGCATTAGTTATAAGTATGTACAGTTAGGATCCTATCTTAAAATACACTGAATATGTGCATTGAGCCAAGATTTACAGGGTTTGTTACCCATTACAGATCCGTTAGATATTTGCAAAATATTTCACTCTGCTGAAGGTTTCTCTAGTGTCATTACTCCTTAATTACTGAAGTGGAAATATTTGTCCAATATAATTATCATTTTATATGCTATTTAATGATGAGTTTTGTCAACCTAAATCTAAGAGACAAGTGATGGTAAGTAGGTTCAAACTCCGCTTTGAAATATCACCCTGTAATCCTATCTCTACTAGTCAGAGGAAAGGCCTGGAGAAATAACAAGGGACTCTAATTAATGAGATAATTAGCTGCATATGACACGTCCTTGTGTGGTTTCCTCTTTCTTTCAAACCCCACAGAAGAGCGATACTGAAAAGCAAAAACCAGAAAAGATCCTGTCGGTGAAAATGCCTGAATCAGGAGGCAGCACTAACACAGTGCTGGTCCAAATATCCAGAAATGGGGAAACAAATCCAGTTCTGAGGACTACCTATCCCAGTTCCCAGGGCTGTTGAGGTCATTTAGCCATGGATTGCCTTGGCTTTCTGGTTTATAAAATGAGGTTAATATTTGCTGCTTTTTCACCTCACAGAAACACACATATCCAGATAGATAGAACAATCAGCCCTGGATCTAAAAGTACCAAAACAACAAGTTACGCTTTATTGTTTACTATGACAAGCATGTAACCCATGTAATCTCGTTTAATCTTCACCCAGCCCTGTGAGGTTGTTATAATCATTATCTTCATTTCACAGAAGAGAAAAGTGAATCTTAGACCATGTAACTTGCCCACGGTTGTGAACTTTAATAAGTTCAGACCCGAGACCTGAACTGAACTGAAGGTATTTGACCCCGAAGTCAGTGAATGCCATTACCACCTGCATCCATGAGCCAAGGATGAACAAGCCATGTAAATGTGAAGTCTTATTATTCGTACTGCAATACCCTGGAAAAATTATTTCAACTTGCCAGTGGATAAATAGATACATGAGAAAAAACTGTTGTCCTTCGCAAGTCAAAACTTAAAAATTTTCAGCATTCATGACTTTTTTTCATGAGTTGGTAGAAGCAAGAGTTAAATTTAATTAAACAAATTGAGAGTGTGTGTTTAAGTGTTTAATGTTGATTTAAATGAAAATAAATTTAAGGTTTAATTAAATATAATTAAATGGAAAATGTGACTGGCTCAGAATTGTCTATGGTACAGTATTGTTCTGTAGTGTTTGTAGATCATATCAAAACCTTCTGGGTTCGCCCCTGAAGTGAAAAAAAAAAAAAGTAAGAAATGACAAAACGATCAAGAAAGTTTGCCAAGGTGCGAGAGTAGGGAATTAAATATACTTCTGCAGCAAATGATGAAGATGGTCCCAGGCTTCTGAAGCCGGACTAAGAAGGGAAAATCTTTGGTAGAGTAGTAAAGGATTGGTGTTGGGGTTGAGATGGTGGAGGAATAGACACAGGTTATCCAAGCCCCATTTGTGTTAAGGGGGTGGGAGGACACTGCTTGAGGGCAGATAATATTCTGAGCCATCTTGCTTTTGTAAGCTTTTAAATTGTGGAGCAATGGATAGAGGCACAGAAAGGGAGGACATTCTAGGTTTGTTCAAGCTGTGGTGGGTGGAAGGACCCTACACACCCCAGCTGGGGGCCACACCAAGGAAAGTCTATGGGGCATAGAAGCCACTTACTGTAAATTGAGCTCCGGCGATGTCACAGAGATGTCATATGGGTGGTCCCCTTCTCGCCCACTCCCAGCCACACCAGAGTTGAGCCAGGCAGACCGAGTGCGCCGTTTCTTTTTTTCTTGCTCCTTGCGTTTTCCAGGTTTGCCTTTCTTTTTCTTGCTAGGTGTCTTCAGTGGCTGCTCTTTGTATGTCTCTACCTTGTTGGTTTCCTGAGTTAGGTATCTGCCCTCATCATCAGACCCGAATCGGACGGGGTGGTTCTTTGTGTTGGGAGCAGGCTTGGAGTTAGGGGACACCTCCGAGGTAGCTCTGATTTCAGCTGTGTGGATTTCTGCGATCAGGTGGTGAAGGAAGAATCGTCGCCGTAAGTCTTGGATAGATTTCCCCTTGTCATGAAGGAGCTGATGTTCAGACACAGCTCTTTTGCTTTAAGGGAAAAAACAGCAGGAGAGGAAGAAGATGATAATATTTTAGTTGTTGGTATAGACCTCCAAGACAAGAGGAAATGCACAAGCTGGAAGGGAAGCAAGCTTGTGGAGTGGGGAAGGAGCAGAGAGGGAACAGAAGTGTGGGCAGTTTGGAGTCTGCAGCCCCAAATCCCATTTATGCCGCTCCCCAGGTCTGTGGCTTCGGTGAGAACATGGGCCTCTCCATTGAAAAGGCAGGGTCAGATTCAGAGATTTCTATGCTGTCTTCTCAACTTAAAACATTATGATTCAGTTATTCTCAGCAATGGATAGAAAAAACTGAGCTTTTCATGTTTTTTAGACTTGTGCTGGGAAAATAAATCCAGACGTCCTAGCCCGTGAAATTAAAAGGAGGCTGAATGTATTTGAGTACTCACCCCAGTGCACATGCATGCACGCACACCCACCCACCCACACACACACACACCACTCCCCTCGTAAGAAAATAATAATACTGGATCTCAAAGAACAGCAAGCTGTAAGAGTAAAGGCAAACAGAGGCTGGAGATGAAGTGAGCAGTAGAGCCTGTCTAGGGAACTACCTAACAGACTGTATTTTATCATTTTATTTTATTTATTTATTTTTTCAGACTGAATTTTAATATGAGGAGTAGAGGATAGGCTACCAGGAGCCTATATTTGAAAGCCAAGTGTCAGAGAGAGAGCGTGTATGTGTATTTTTCTGTAAAGTAGTGGGTGGTCTCTTTAAAATGGGTTTCTTTGTGTTAAAATTGAGATCATTCTATTTCTTCCATGCATCAAGTTACTTTTTTTTTTTTTTTTAATTTAGAATTGCAGAGGGTATTATCCTTAGGACTTAAGTGAGACATTCACCTTTCTACTTGTTCTCTTTGTCTTAAAAAATGTCTCTAGGAACAAGTATGAAGTGACTTTTCGGTTTAAACAACACTCTAATGAAAAGAACAAACTAATTTCCCATCAGTCCTCTTAGATGGCACCCTGACTCTTGTTTAAATGCCCATCCACATATTCTTGTATCATTCTGTGTGTATATTATTAACCATATGCAGGGATCACATAGATTAATCAGTCATATCATGCCTGCTTCAGCTCTGCCTTACCTTACTCCAATTTCTACCACTGGGTAACTCTTCAAAGTGGTTCTCTGTCAAGTGTCTGAGGGTACTTCACAGGGCTATCTCCCATGTATTCTTACCTCTCTCACACACAGTATCTGGGTCCCTTATTTGCCTTCATTAGTACAACTTCTTTAACTCCTCAGAGAAATATGACAATAAAAATAGCATTATCTTCATTTTATAGATAGGGAAGTTGAGGGTCAGAGAGATTCAATGACAGAACCAGGGATCCACAAACCAGGTCCTCTGATTCTGAAACCAAAGATTGCCTTTCAATGACCTCAATCCTTTCTCCTGTGGAAGTGGAAGTGTATGCTGAGGAAACAAGAAGTGAAGGGCATAGAGTAAAAAGCCTGTGGTGGGAACCATGAGGGACAGTGGGCAAATGGAGAGCAATTTGTCAGTTTCCTTGAAGATCAAGCTTACTGCTCCAGCAAGGCCATTTTCATCCCCCAAAATAAGGAACTAGGATTTCTAGAGTTTGGATTATCACTGGGGGAAACTGAGAGATTTTCTAGTGATACTGTGAGTCAAAGAAGAGTAAGACATGAAAATACAGGCATTATTTCTCTAGACCTTATAGCCAGAATACCAGCTTCCTTTTAGTATTTTAGTGTGTGGACCGACTTTAAGCCATGCAGCTTGTTCAAAAAAGACATGACTTAATGGAAAGGAATTTAACAGGAGCCTGGTTTAAATGAGGCATGAAGGAGTCTCTCTTCCTTTTTGAAGGTGCCACATGTGACTAGATTAAAATTCACTTACTTTATGGCAACAGCTAGTATTCTGGAAACTTTTAATAATATACAAATTTGAGGTTTTGGTATAATACATTTATACTCCCTAATAACATTTTTAAAGAATAGGTCTGAATTAATTGCATATTTCATAAGTATTGCAGTTTAATAAGTATCCTTTAGCAAAATGTCACATGAAAGGAAGTTCCGAACCAGTGATCATTTATAGGATCTGGGGCTTTTCTTTCTTTCTCAATCCCTGGCAGATAACCACCCCATCTGTATTGCTCTCCAAATGTATAATATAACCCATTCTAGCTTAACTCGAAGCCAAAACTTTTAATAGTCGGTCTGTTCTAATCAGGCCACCCCTGCTTATATGCCCCCTCTGCCTGGCATATATACCTGTCATCTTGGCCAGCCTGTCAACTGTGAGTCACAGTGCCTTCTTAACCCAAGAACCGTACTTTCTCAGGATGGTTCTCATGAGAAAAGGAGGGCTCACGCTACCCTCCTGTTTTATAAAAGTCTACAAAGATGGCACAACTCTGTCCAGTTTAAAATAGTGTCTCTCTTGTGAGGTACCAAGATTCTTTCTGCCTTTTAGGAGTAATTGTTAACATAATACTAGAAAACACAGATTTTCTTAAATGCTAAATCTCAAACGCTGTGAACACAAGGAACAGCTCAAAGACTTCTGCATTGAAAATATTGTGAAGAATGAATTTCTGATTGGGCAACTGCACTGGAAGAGCAGGAATATAATACTATCTTTATGGTCAACAAGGGAATAAGATCCCTAGAGCGTTTTATTTATTTTCAAAACAAGACACAAACCGACACAAGGGTAAATCACTAGCATGTACAAGCTAGATATACATAGGTGGGGAGCAATGAATCTAAATTAAGGAGGCTTTCCATTTAGATAATTCTGAAATATTTAAGTGATAAATATGGCCTCAATAATAGTCTATTACTCTATACATCTGCAAACATCCCCTAGCCCAGTGGTTCACACGGCATTTGTTACAATCCTCATATGGTACGTTTATGGTCTCCTTTGATTATTGTAAAAAAATTTTCAGAAATATGGAGGAAATGCTTAACAGAGATAAGTATAAATCCAGTCAAAATATAGCTCTTCTGCTCTAAAGAGAAATAACTCTCAAGGGAGTTTTCAGGGAAGAAGAGTAAATTCAAGGTTCTATCAAGGAACGCAGGGAATAAAGGGAGTGATAGGACTGCCTCTTCCAACACAGGAAGGAGCAGCATGCTTGTGCCGATGCTCAGCTACTTAGGAAGGAGTTTGGGTTTGAGAAGAAAATTTCTGTGGTACTGCACGAGTCAGGGTTCGGGTGTTAGAGTGAAGATGACTCACCACAAGTCCCTTCCAACCCAAATGACTCAGTCAAAAGTTATGCTTTTCATTAAATGGAATAGACCCAGTCTGGCTCCCAAGCAAATCAGCCAATTATGTTTTAGGTTTCTGAATCTGCTGGAACTCCCTCTCTAACTTTAACACAAAGGTTGCTACCTGCCGAAAGTCATGTTCATTGGGACAAGAATGTCTATAGGCCTCCCTTTCCAACTTCCAATTTTTTCATGCTCTAGCCCCATTAATTAAAATCTTTTGGACTATGACAACTTAGAATTGCCTCCTTTGCGTGGCTTAGGAAGTGTTATTGTTGTAGTAGTCCGCCCCCCCCCACACACACATACCCTCCAAAGTCATTCCCTAGTTACAAAAAACATCTAAAGCAGTTTCCTAATACTTGGTGTGAAAAGTAATTGGGGAGTAATATGATTTGATTATATGTTAACATTTCTTTCAAGAAGTTAGGTTGATTTAGTATAATAGTACACTAATGTTTTGTCTAGCACACAAAATTTACTATTACTTGGCAGCAAAGCAAAAATAATGACTTGTTTTTTTTAAACTTCATTTGGCTGTAATAATTTGATGAAACGTCTTCATCTACTGATGATTTCAGCCTTCATGAAAAACCATGGCTGTAATATGATGATCTATTAGCCATTAACTATAAGAATGTTTTGTGGTAGTTTTATAACCATCTGCTGAGTGTGAGTGTTTAACTACAATATTATATTTCACCCACAAACAAAACTATAACAGAGTCTCTGGCTGTTAAATGGTTTCTGATGTGTATTTTGCAAGGTGCAACAAAGAAAGAGTTAAAAAAATAACCTTTAGGACAACTTAGCACTATTTTTATGTCATAACTGTGGATTTAATCATGGTCCATTTACTGTTTCTCAAAAGAGAAAACAGGTATTTCTCAAGCAACTGTAAAGAAAAAACTGGCTCTGTTCCAAGACAGTATTTCTTGGCCAGTATTTAAGCATGCTTTTAAAAATTCACTCTTCATCTATATTTATATATGGACTTTAAATAATTTAATACAAGTCTTAAAAGGAGCAAAAAGTCTGAAGACAATTTTCAGAAATACATCAGCAAAACGTTGATTTGAAGAATACAATGAAGCTTTATCTTCAGTACAATGTTCTACACAATTTGCCTTAGGAGATTCGTAATAGATTTTCATTTTGGTGCCAAGGTTCAGACATGTCTAAAGTAATTTCATTTAAGGATTTTCTGCTCTAATAATAATAGACCAAGGGCACATATAAAACAGTTGCCTTTTTGTACACCCTCGGGAATTTACAAGGAAGCACCATGAACTTGATTGTAAATATTGGATATTGCTATTTTTATTGTTAGTGTAAAAGCTCCTTAATTCCTTCTCCAGAGGCAAACTCCTCTCAGTTCTCAAACTTTATGGTTTTCCCATCCTGAACACTGAGTGTGCAGCTTAAAGATCACCCAAAGATGGTATTACACACATTAACGTACTGCTCGGTCCAACAGATTATTAAGATAGTGTTACTCGACTGCTCTTCCAACTTTTCAGTCATACAACATGGTAATATTTCTCTGCTGTGCCTGGATGTATGATTATGTTAAAGTCAAAATTATCCTTAAAAGAACCACCAAATGAGAATGCCAAAATACAAGTTTTCAGTCTACAATGCAAATATTTGACTTCAGATTAAAGAACTGTTAGCAATAATTCCAAGAAAAAACAAGTTTCCACACCTAATATTCATTTTGGAGTCAAGCGCTCTAGCGTTCCTGGGCTGTATCAATACTAACTTTGGAGTTGTGCCATTGCAAAGTTGTTACTACTTTATTATATAATATGCCTTCATTATGTAATGTGGTCCATTTTATATGCTTAAAATTATGTCATTCATAATAAAGTTAGATGTAAGGCTTTTGCTTTTCACACACAAACTGCCACCCACATTCAGTCTGTAAATCAAACGCACACAGACATATGTCCCCCGGCTCCCTCAGCTTCTTCCGAGTTCTCTGTCTCTTGCAATAAAACCTTCCCAGGTCCTGGAAGTAAAACCTTTTCCTTTCACTACAGGCAGATGATCTTTGTCTAGAGGAGATTCTGCGCTCCCTCTTACGGAAACTCATGGAAAATCTGTCTCTTGCCAGTCTCCCCTTGAGGTTCAACCAGTGCTCCCGCCGGGGTTGAGGACTCGGTCTCAGCCTCCCCGGCAGGTAGACGACTCTCGCCGCTTTTTAACTCGGGCAAGGAGCATCAGTGACCGCTGCGAGCCCTCGGCAGCGCCCCAGCCTGGCGGCCTCTCCCACTGGCCTTCCCAGCCCTCACCCGGCGCCCGGAGGAGGACGGGGCACTTACAGCCGGCGGCCGAGCTCCTCCACCGAGCGCCCGCAGGAGGGCACCGAGTAGCTCAGCAGGAACACCGCGACGCTCCACTGCTGAACCAGCCTCCGCAGCATCGTATCCTCTCGCTCTCGCGACCTGCAACAGAGTGGAAAGGGGCCCGAAGTGTCAGTCCGGAATCTCCATCTCCCGGGACTACCACGCTCCCCGTTTTAGCTGGCTCTCAAGTTGCATCGAGGGCATCTCTCAAGTTGCAAAGAAAAAAACCAAAAAACAAAAAACGAAAAACCAAAAAAAAAAAAAAACCAAAACAAAACTTTCTCTGAAGCCTCTCAGCACTTACTTATTTAGGAATCAGCTACTGCAACTGTGCTTTTTCCAAAACCACACAGGCAAAAAGGGACCAAAAGGAAAACAAAGCAAAACAAAGCAAAAATCAGAGACGTTCCTCTGAAATAATAACCACCGTGAAATGCTTTTATATATGCACAAATGATGAGCAGCGTGTTTACACGTCTTCCCTATCAATGTCTAATTAAATCTGGCCGGCAGTTCTCCCAGGTTCGTGGAGCAGAGCTAACCCCTTCCTAAAAAGAGAAGAAAGTTTCCCCCTCTGAAGTCAGCTTCTTTGCGAACTAGGCCGTCTTGTTCCAGAGCCACTTGTAGAGACCCACATTTATATACATAGCTGTCTGTCTACCTCCTCTGGTGGGCTGGTTGCTTCCGGAAAGTTGATTCCACACACCCTGAGAACAAGTTTCAAGTGCGTGTGTCGTCGATCAGGAGGGCCAGGTGGCAACGAGGGCGGGTTAATAGCGGCTCGGAGGGGAGGCGGCGGCCCGAGCGGCAGGGCAGCGGCGGCCCCGCTTCACGGGCGGGGAGGCATGCTGGCCGGGCGGCGCAGGTTGGAGGCGAGTTGAAAGCCTAGCAGAGGAATGTTCACACGCTCCCAGGCAAACCTGCCGGAGAAGTGAGCTAGTCGCAAAGAGGTGGCGCCCTTGGAACGCGCGCGGGGCGAGCAAGGGCGCGGGCGCGCGGG